GCACTTGCAACAATGAAATGTGCAAAGCAGAAACTGTTTCCTTGGCTATTGCCATGAGGTAACACCTTTTGAAGACAATGAGAAAGTCTTTGAGAGATAATCAGAAAAGATACACAAAAATGCAGGAAGTCAGAGAGGGGGAGCAGGCAGGGAAACAGCAACACTGAGCATTTCTCCTCTGCTGCAGGAAAATGTAGTAGACAGAACATAAGTAATATGTAATGAAAATAAAAAGGTAAATATGTAATAAAAAGGAATAAGTAGAGCAGGGTTGTCATTCTCAGTGCTGAACTGGCAACATTCAGCAGGTTTGTTTTTGTTTGAGAGAATATGGAGCTCTTGCCCTTTGACTTGAAGACACTCAAAGCTCCTCATCATTGGAAAGTCAGAATTGAACGAAAAATTGCAAAACTAATTGACAGAACTTCAGAGCATTGGTTCAGAATTTGGCCTAAACTCCCTTACTTGAGGTCTTACTTAAGTAACCTTTTTGTGTGCTTAATTTTTAAGGGAACACGGTCCAGCTTGGAATATATCTGAGTTGGGCTGAAGAACAGCTGCCAGGTGCACTGTCTGCTAAAAATCAATAGCCAGAGCATAATATAGAAACAAACTTTTAAAGATAAACCACACAACCAGGTCTGAACTCCCAAGATTTCAGTATAGCAATTTATTGCTCTGTGCACTGTTCACATGCAGCCAGTATGAACCAAGGGACTGCATTAAACCTGCTGAGTTTTGACAGATTTGCTTTTAGTTCATTTTTATTGTATGTAGGTAAAAGGAGAGCTGCCAGCCTACTATAGATACAGGATCTATGGGATTTGGACTATAACATCTTATGTTTTACTGTTTTTCTTTAAAAAGACCCCCTCCTATTTAACAAGAAGCTGTTGTTTCTATTTTTTTTTTTTCCCTGTTTTAGGCTAAGGATAAATTAGAGGTGGCACAGAGCAGTGGAGGAGCAACAGCCTTTAGAAGCCCTCTCCAAAAGTAAAATTTATGGAATGCTTTCCAAACATCTGCATGAGAAGTGCTGCATCAACCTTCCAGTGGCCTGGTTGAAAAGAGTGTCCTTTAATCTAAACCATGCTCCCTGGGATTTCTTAATGTAGTTAATTCTTCTTTTTTTCATTTTCATTGCACAGGGATCTCCTTGAACAAAGGAAAATTATGAAACTGACAGATCAGATTTCATGTGTTTTTCTTGGCATTACACTCACTAGACCTGGTACACAGTGAGTTTTGAAAGCCTCTGATCTTTTATAACCATTTTTAGTCTTAAACATACATTAAAAAGTTCCTCATCTGCAGTCACTGGGAATAGGACTATGAAAGCTGAGGTAATTTGGATATTTTCTTTCTGTAAAGACCTAGAGAGTGATCCATTACAGCCATAAATCATTTCCAAAGTTTCTTTATTCTTTCTGCTGTACTTCTGATTGTTTTATTAAGACTCTGAATTTATTTCTCTGACTTTTGGGGTTTTTTTTCTCTTTCCTGTTATGGATATACATTGCTTTAGAGCTTAAAATCAAGGTGCTTAGATGTGCCTGTGGGAATGAATGACAGCAGGTTCAGAGTGGTGAGCTCTGCTGGGTCTGATGGTACCATAAAACATGTCAAGGACACAAAATCCTTTCTCTTCTCCTAAGCTGCTGTGTCAGTCTGGAAGCCTAATGACACTGGCACCTCAGATATGAGCCAGCCTTTGGGCTTGGAGAAGTGGGATTTTTGTTCACTGTTGTGTTCTTTCTTTGTTCAGGGATATCAGCCAAACTGAAGATAACCTGACCTTTTGAAACAGAACTAGAAGATCCCTTGACACAAAATCCTGTAAGTGTATTTATCCAGGGAGTCCCTTGGCCAATTCAAAAGGCCAGAGAGAGGATTCCTAGAGCTGAAAGCACAAGCCATGTCAACTACAGTCTGACTTGAGTGAAAATGCTGACCGTGCCAGGGAACAAGAACAGACAGCAATTCCATGTTACTCGTGGCATTGTAACTCAAGCAGTTGTTTCAGAGGCCAGTCACACACAGCTTCCTTGGGAAAGTTTGCTGGAACAACTGGTGGAGATACAGGTTATTCAGATGTCTTTTTATTCAGATGTCTTTACTGAATGCCAACAAAACAAAAGTATACTATCTTTAATGCTTGTGTTATAAACAACTTCCATCCACTTCCAAATCCTCTCTGCCTTTCCTTCACTCACATGAACACTTTAGACAGAGAGCTCCTTTATAATCTCTCTACTTTGTAAATCTCTCAAAAACTTCTGATTGCACTTTTCTTATCTGTACAATTCACTGCCAAGTCAGAGTAGAATATCTGTGTGCCTTTGTTACAAATACACCAGACTTTTTGGTATCTGCTGCCACTGTTTCCAAATCCTTAGTAGCCTTGCTATCCTGACTAGGAGATGAGTAAGTTTACTAGAAGGATTATTTTTATCCTTTCTGTTTTTCAGCTCCTTTCCATTTTTCTTTGCCATCTACTTGACTGCACAGCCCACTGCTCAGTTCCCACTGCTTTCCAGAGCTCAGATACAAGTCCTTCCTTGTCTGCATAACAAGAGTTGGTCTCCTGCCCCGGTGTGTCTTTCAACTGATCCTGTTATCAGCTCATAGCCTGATATTTTCCAATTTCAGGTAGAATATTTAAGTGGCATACTGTATTTCAATTCAGCTACTTTCATTAATGTTGAGAACTTGGTACACGATCCCGAAATGGTGAGTAGAGTTGCCTTCATTTCTTGTCTTCATCATGATGAGCTTTCCTACCTCTGTTCACTGTTTGGTTTACTTGAAATCAGATTAGGCTGTTTCTTCTCTCCACACTCAAGTGCCACTGGAGCATTGGTGTTAAGTTTTATAAGTTCAAGAGCTTCTCCAGCCCAATGGGATACCAAGGCTGGGTTCAGCTGGGACATGATATATTGGGAACATAGGTTCTCTTGAGAAGAGACTCTGACAGCATCTTTCTTAATTTAGAGAAATTCCAAATTTAGCTTGGCTGTTTTTCCTCCACTGAAGAGATCCAGGTAATGTCTCTGAGAAAAGGACATTAAAACATTTTTCCTTAATAAGGTTTGTGGATAATATTGCCTACGCTGGTTTTGACAACAAGCGTAAAGAGGCCATTGCTGAGAGAAACCCTACAACTCATTAGCTAATTTTATCTTTCCTTCAAAGAAGGAAAAGCAAAAATGTGACTGATATGCCCATTCAGTGCTCTCTGAAAAAAACCAGCTCTGCAGCCAGACCATTCCTTCCCTCACAACAAAGCCAAACAAAGTGAACTCATGCATTAACTTTGATTTTTCAAAGAAAAAAGCCTGTAATTTAACTAAGAAATGTTCTAGATCTAGAAAATTGAATACTTTTTGCTTTTGGAGGCAACAAATAGGAGCACCAAAGACAGGAGAGTGGACAGAAATATGGCAAGTTTATCAGTGAGTGTAGCAAGGAGGAAAATAGTCATTACTTAATGGAAAGGAAGGGTTTCAGGGGAGGATTCAGGGGTTTAACAGAACCCCAAGCTTTGCTCTAGGTGGTGCAGGCAGAAGATCTGTGAGGTTTGCTCGGAGTGGTTCACCTGGTGACCAAGCACATCAGGGAAGCTGCTGCACAGCACCAAGTTCAGGATGGACATTACTGCACCCCTTCTATCCTCAGGTCAGGCCCTCCTCAGTCCAGCATCTGTCATTTGGTTTCCTCCTGCTCTCAGGAGCCCTTGAGATGATCTGAAAAGGGCCTGTTGTGCTTCAAATCCCTCAGCACGGCTGGAGCTTTCATCTCCTGAAATTCAGCAAAGCAGGGCAGCCCAGGAGCACTGCAGCATCGCTGTGGGATGGCGTGGGCAGCCCTGGGATCTGAGACTCAACCTCTTACTGTCAGGACTTCTGTCATGGTGTTGGCTTGTAAAAGGCATAACTTCAGCTCCCAGAGAGAAATAGGATTTGCACAAAATAATCAGTGAACTGAATTCTGTTCCATTTTTTAACATATTTTGGAAGTGCTCCACCACAGTTGAGGAAAAGAAGAAGGGAAAGAGTTAGCCAGAAGAACAGCTGAACAGCCAGGCACAGGGAGGGACATGTGGCCAGCACTTGAGCCATTTTCAGCTGGAGCATGGGCCTTAGGAGTAGGGCATAGATTTCAGTGTCCTGATGGTGTCTTGCTTCACTCTGGGATCCTCAAAAAGAATTCTTTTAAGTGGACAGTGGAAGGAAAAAAAGCTTTTGTTTAAGTAAAGTGCTGCTTGGCTTTGCTTTCATGTTTTAAGACATTTTTATCACTAGAGGTGGTCTTTAATATGCTCCTTAAGCCATAACTCTTGGGACCACCTCATTCCTTTTACCTCCTCCTCTGAGCAGGAATGTTGGAGCAGAGCACAGCTCAGCACTACATGCTCCATTAAAGGAGCTTATGTAGCATCCTAGAGGTCCAGTGAGAACCTTTGGCAGACACAAAAATACTTTGGAAAACTGTGGGAATGCTGATGACTTAGAGTGGTTTATATTGTTGCATTAGAAAAATAAATAGTATGGCAGAACCTGTCAGGATGGATAAAGCGAGGATTTGCCCGTAACTGTGCCGTGCAGCTTTCCAAACCACTAACCTGCTGGTTAGCCCAGGCTTCTATTTCATCCAAACCCTCATAAAAATTTATTGCAGATGGGTACTAAGAACCTTCAGGAAAATCCTTTGCTGTTTCAACAGCATCTCTGCCTTATGATGGTCTTGCAGTTACTTTTTCCCCTCTCTCCCAGCAGAAGAGATTTTCTCCTGCCCAACATGATTTAGTGCTCTCTTACAAATGGCAAAGAACAGAATTTATCAGCCTGTCTGGGATAGCCAAGGGATGAAGTACCAGAAGGCTTGGATGAACCAGAGAGACTTAAATCACACTTGGAGCTGCAGGCACAGCTTCAGGTGCTGTGCCAAGAGCCCTGTTCTCAGCCCAGGCATTATTTTGTTCTGAGGCTGGTGTATCTAACTGCCCCATAGATCAGAACAAGACAGTTTGGTCTTTCTTGAAGGAAATCAGCTGTGCCTCATCCCATGGCATGCAGGTGGTGGCTTAGAGAGACACGGTCCCAAAGCCCCTTTGAGCCTGACACAAGCACCTGCCTGTGTCAGCACTTAAGGATGACCAGTCCAAACTTTCCTGGCCTTGAAAGGCCTGCACAGACTCAGGGTGTGTCCCTGAGCAGATCTGTGTTTGTTCCCAGCCAGATGTGTGTCATCATCTGCCATCACAGAGTGAGGAGGTAAAGATGGCCAGGGAGTGTAGTCTGGGATAACATGGAAAATAAGGCTTTTTAAACATGGAAAAAACATGACAAGCACACACAAATGTTTTGAAAACTGATTGGCATTCCATAATAAATAGCATGAAAATAAATCTTTTTACTAAAAAATATAGAAAAGCATAAAATCTCCTTGTTTAATAGCAAGCTGTAGGACAGGTGCAAGCATTAACCAAGTATCTTTTTCAGTTATATGTGTCCTGAATCATTATTGAATGTGTAGGGACATGTCAGTGTGATTTTAATATCACAACAGTTTTCATTCATGAAGAGATTATGTAAACAAAGAGATAATCTCTTATAAGAGAATGCCTTTTGCTGTGTTAGTAAGGTACAAATGAAGTAAGTTTTACATGGCCTGTGAAGGGTGTTTTGTGCCTTCCTGGCAACAGTAGGTTAAAGCCCAAGATAACCACTTCAGACTGGCTGCATACTTCAGTATTTTCCCCCTTCACAGTTGTTAAAAGTTTATAGAGCCTCAAAACATATCCAGATGGACAGTAACTGCAGTTTACGAAACCAGTCTAATCTAGCACAATACACAAAGTAGGGTAAGTGGGAAGGAAAACAAGTTCTGAATAGAGGACCTCCTTGGAACATTGGATCAGCCATCAGACACACCAATTCTGTTTAGACAGGCCTGTAACACACACCCAAATGTTCTGCAAAACAAAGCACACCCCCCCATCCTTTCACCACTGCAGCTCCAAAATGCTTCTGCCCAAGGGTGGTCTTTGCCCTGCTTGAGGCAGTGTTTGTGTACATCTTTATTCACAAACTGAAGCATTGGTGTCCAGAGCTTTTTGGCAAAGCTGAGACACATAAACCATGTTCCTCCTCTCAAGGAATATCATATCTTGGCAGTTTTGTTTGGGTTTAACTTCTTCAAGTATGCAATAGAAAAAGACGAATAAATGACACACTTATCACTGTGCTGCCACCGATGGATTTCCCCACACGAGGCTGTTTGTGTGTGTGACACCAGGATAAATAACATCCCTGTGGCAGAGAACCTGGCCAAGAGAAAACTATTGTTATTTGAAGTTGTTCTCTTGGGGGATAATGTCTGCTGAAGACAATGTCAAGCAATATATAATGACCTTTTGGGTTTTTGTGCTGCATATATTTTTTTGCATGCAGTGTGTGTGTATCACAACAGGGTGATTAGATAATGAAATCATGATGTAAGGAAAAAAACCCCAAATCCTGGCAGATTTATAGCAACTGAATCTCTGTCTTCACACCTCACTCCTGCTGGCATGGGTGCCTAATTAAACTGAAGTTAATTCCAGCGTGTTGGCAGAGACAGATCTCAGTGCAGTGGGCATTCTCAATCACTTTATTTGTCACGTTTCACAAATTTCCAAACAATTAAAAATATTGCTTGGGAAATTGCGATTTGAATTTGCGATTTTTCATCCCCTCTCCTGCCTTCCTCCCTTTCCTTTCAGTTCATGGCAGGTGAATTCCCTGTTCAAACACTGGTGCAAGTGCTCAGTTACACTGAGCTGTTCATGGTGAGAGTGGGATTTGGAAAGGCATTGTGCCTCCTACCACGTGGGAGTAGCGATGTCTTTTAGTTTGCTGTTTCACAGAAAACATTGTTTGCCATATGTCTCAACAGGCCCTGCTTCTCTTTTCCAAGAAATTGGCCAAGGAAGCTGTGATTATTTAATTTGTCTTTTGGTCTTTTTGCATCATGACTGGAGATTGGCATGTGAATTATTTAATTAAGCTGTGAATATTGCTGGCTATTGCTAAGTTCCACAAATACTGTGTCATTTAGCTATTTATGGCTAACAGAATTAACAGTACAGAAAAGCTAATTAAAAGCTAAATAATCTTGGAGTCTTTTGACCAGCTGTAATATATCCATGCAACACCATTCTATTGAATAAGGAAACTATTGTTGAGGCTTTTGTCACAGGAAAAAAAAAAAGAAAAAAACAGTTGTGATTTTTTTTTTCCCTTTGGTTTTCTTCCCATCACAAAGAAAGCTGCAGCCTCTGGCATTTCAGCTGGGCTGCGTTCTGTGCCCGGGGCGACAGAGCCACTTGCAGTTACTCACATGGAAATGTGCTGAACGAGAACCACACCATAAACAAAAGCACTCCGGGGCTTCAGTGGGCAAAGCACAAGAGCAGAATATTAACCACAGATCCTGCCTAGGTAGAAATTCCTCTGGCTTGGTCATGGCACGTAATGAGGTTTCATGCCTCTCTTTTTGGCATGTGTGGTGGCACAGACTCCCCAGGACCTTATTTCATTCAGATGGCTGCTTCTTAATGAGCTGATCTTCAGAGGAGCAGCTATTTACTGATCCATTGCTGGCTCACACCTTCAGCACAGGATTTTCTCTCACCATGGTCCAGGAAACTCGCTGCATCTCAAAGCACAAGCAAAGGCAAGAATGCTGCATATATTGTGGGATTTCCTCCTTGTGCTGCAGAAATGATGTAAAAATTGAATAAACCCTTCAAATGGCTTCAGCAGTAATGAGGGACTCAGGTACCTTAGGGAAAATAGTGTGTCATTAAACAATACTGTTTTAAACATCAAAAATGCAAAAAAAAAGTGATAAAAGGGATTTAAATGCCTGTCTCTTTTTTATGCTTTGGACTGTAGGAACTTCACACCTTGCATCTTTGAACAGGAGGAGACAACCATGTATGGGCTAAATGGTAAAATGCATTTCCTTCCCCATTCCTTCTGTCCAAACTCTTGCAGTTGTGGAAATGTTCAAACACTCCCTTAGTGAATTATGGCTGTATGAGAAAGAGACTTTGTGACTTGGCTCCTCCCTGTACTTTGTGTCCTAATTTTTTAAGTCTTGATTTGACTTTGTTTTTTCAGCCAGAAATGCCCCATTGAAGGTCAGCTACCTCCTAAATCTACCATGTTGCCAAAATAACCCAAAGATGGCTTTGTTAAATAGACATCAACAATTAAGTGATCAATTTTAAAGTACTTGATTTTCTTTGTTATTCTTTTCAGTAAATTTTCTTCCTGAATCAAAAAGTAGCGAGAGATGAAGAAGAGTTGGAAGTATTGAGTTAACCAAATAAGGTCAGCATAAGGAGGAGACCCTACTCTTTGTGACACCATTGAAAGGTAACACAGGAAAAGCTTTGCTTGACACAAAATATAGGCACAGACCAGTGAAAATGGTGGAAAAACCAGATTTGAATATGCAAATGTTGTTCTCTAACAAAATTCTGAATAAGTCAAGTATGAAGCTAAAGTCATAATTGGTGTCAGTTTTCCAGATGAAGGAAAAGGATTCAGGATTAATATGAAGATTGGTTAGTTTTGTCTCCATCATCAGAGTACAAAAATAAAAAATTAGGACAGAGAGGAGAGTTTATTGGGGAAGCACAGCTGCTCAGAAACCTTCCCGTCCTCTCTCCTTCCCAGCCTTTTCCTTTGAGGCCCATTTGGACAAACACTCAGTCTCCTTTAGCCCATTTTGGTGATGTTCTGTGGCTTTCCAGTTGATTTCTGCATAACCTGGAAAGTCTGTGTTTGCATCCCAAGCTGCCCAAAATGTTCTTTAATTATTTCCCAGGAGCTTTCCTTTGTTCTCTGAGGGGGCAGCACTGCATTGCTACACTGAAGGTCTTGTCAACATTGCCTGGGGATGTCTGATCTTGCAGGATACTGTAACCCATCAGACATTATTGCAGAGTGCTACAATTGTTTTACAAGATTTTGGGACAGATGCCAGTTATTTAAGGTGCTTTCACTGAAATAACTCGGTGCTTTTTTTTTTAAATTCTTTTTCTTCTTGGTAATGTCTTTTTGTCTCTCACTCATAATCCTCCTGTGACTTTGAGAAAAGTATTTTCATACTTGTGAGGCCTCTGGAAATTTTCAGAGCATTTAGATTATGTTCAGATAAAACTCTGACTTAGTGAGTATGTATATATGAAAAACCTTACTGAGATTTATTATCTCATTTGAAAATTGTCAATAATATCTTCTGCATTTGTTCAGTCCAAAGGGATTTAAAAAAATCATATCAGAGCAGCTGTGGGTGAGAAAAGTTCATTCCTTATCAGTCATCCAAACTTGCCAAGTCAGTTTTATGAAAGCAGTGACATGAATACAGAAACTAAGCCCAGCTTGGTAAGACTAAGCCCAAAGCATAACAAAAAAAAAAGAGCAGTGTTACTACTTCAGCTTTCCTCACCTGGAACTGAAATGGAAGGGACTGGGATGGATCTAAGGCGTGTCAGCAGGGCAGGCACACCCACAGCACTGAAAATAAAAGGACACAAAACTCTCTCTTCCCAACTGGAATTCAGGGAATTGTCACCAGTCCCCAACCATGCAGGATGAGTGTAAATGCGATTGTGAGGGGCACAGAGGCTGCTCCCCATCAGCCTGGCAGCACTTCAGAGCCCTCTGGCTGTGCTGGGGCTGCTCTGTGTCGCTGTCCCGTGGAGCTGCAGCAGCTCCACCCCTGTCAGAGCACACTGATCCCCGCGGAGAACGCGGCATCTGCAGAGTGCCTGACACCAGGCACAATTCCTCCTGCCAGGGCTCTGGGGAAGGTGCAAACCCCAAGCTTTTCCCAGGCACTGCTCACGTGTGCACAGAAGTCTCGAGGCTCCGTCTGCGGCCCCTTCAGCGCTCTGAGCTCAGCCAAGGTTGCCAATTCCCGGCTGGAGGCACGTGGAAATCCACTGCTGCCACCCCTGAGGCTCTCAGGGATTTTGGCCATTGCTCTCAGTCACAGTTCCCCTGTTCATGGTAGCTCAGTCAGGAAAGACAAGTTCTGCCACCAGCTTTGCTTCCAGGCTGTGCTGTAACAACCCCCAGTGCCCAAGAAATGTCTCACCAGTGGGAGGGCATGGACAAATCCCTCACAGCCTCCTTTTTGGAACACATGGAAGTACTGGCCTCTCATCCTGCCAAAGGCTTTCTAAATTCCAGGAGTCTGGAAGCCAGGTTCCCGTCTTGCCCAAACCATGCAGCACTGAAGTGTCGGGGAGCAGCACCGGTGCCAATTCCCTGTTTAATCATCACCCCAGCCCCGCTCCAGGAAAGATCCAGCAGCACCAGGCACTGCTCCCCATCCGGGAATGGCAGGAGGAGGTGGGCAAACACCAATCTGTCTGTGTTTCACTAACTCAAATTACTCAGAAAATATTTCTACATTAAAACATATTTCATTACTTCTTGAGGTCAAATGCAAAATACTGAGTTTGCTCTGTTCAAATCAGTAACGTGAAAAAGGAAATATATTAGAAGAATTAATAAATACTTCAGAAGACAAAGGGACATGTAAACTGTAATTTCTGTATAGATTTTGAAGTGAGAAAATCTGTTAAAGGAAGACCCGTTAGATCTTCCCTCCTACTTTAGCAATTAGAGGAAGAGATACACAAATAATGAATTGTAATCATCCCAGGCACTGGGTTAGAGGGGCTCAGAACCGGACTCAGTGCTGGGTCTGGGGCCTTGGAACTGAGACCGAATCAGGCAGTTTTGGGCTTTGAGAGACCCAAATCACTGTTACGTTTCAGGGGCTCAGAACCAGACTCACTTGATGATCCACTTTTTGGGCCCACAGAAACCAAGGGCTGTGTTCGGGGGGCTTGAAGTAAATCCCAGCCGCGGTGCTTCGGTGTTCAGAGCGGGCTGGTTCGGGCAGCGTCAGTCGCAGCCTCTCAGCTCTAAGGGCCGCCTTTGGCCCCGCGGAGAGCTCAGAGCCGGCGACTCGGAGCTGCCCCTGGGGCCGGCGGCGGAGCCGCGTTTGGGGCTCGGAGCGGAGCCCGAACCCCGCGTTGGGGGCCACGGGCAGAGCCCGGCCCGGCGCGTCGGGCTCCGNCCAAAACAAGGAGCGATACTGAAGCTGGAATAGCAAAGCTGAGCCCTAAGCAAGGTTCAATTCCTGCCATGGAATCACCAGGGTTTATGGGCTCAGAGCTCTCGTTGTCTGGCGTAAGAGATCACAGAGAGCCCCAGAGCTGAAGGAGCCATGGAGGTGCCTCAGCTCAAGGTGGATGCACTGCCAGGCTCTTCATGCCTGGGGCACTTTGGTGCCAGACAGGAGTTTGGGAAGGGCTCCAACACTTCCTGCCATTACCAACCCCACAGCAAGAGCATCCCTGTTTCTCCTAAAACACACATAATCCCTTCCCCAGAGCTCCATGGGAACTCACCGTGGATCACTCTCAGTGCCTGCTCTCACTGCCATGTTCTGGTTTGCTCCTGGAATTCCCAGCCCAGAAATGTCTCCGTGCCCCTCCACTGCCACCCCACTGCCAGGGAGGGTGTCCCTGCCTGGGATTTTCACTGTCTCTCCTATTCCAGGTTTCCTGGTTCTTCCTCTTTCCCACTTCTGTGCCTCCTCAGTATTTACAAAAGCAAAAAGTCCTTTTCCCTGTTGCTAAATGCAGCTTGACACCACCCAGTGACCCTGTTAGCCCAGCTCAGCCCTTGAGAACACATCCCTCAGTGACGCTGCAGACAAATCACAGCAAACAGAAGCAGCTTTGAGCTCTGCAGTCATCGTAGCCCACAGTCATAATTATGTGAAATGAATAAATGAGGCTGGATTAAGTGATGATCTCTGGCCAGCTGCCAGAGAGGGGCACCAACAACTGTGTTTGTTGTTCTTTCAACAAAAAGAATCAGAAATGAGCATGAGGAAAATCCTGGGCATCTTAACTTATGTTCCTTGTGGTTTTTGTGATACAGAAATTATTAACTTTTCATTTACCGTCATGTTGATGAGTGCCTCCAAATTGCACACGGAATTTCCACCACAATTCCCATGGTGCAGCTTTGGTATCTATTCCATGCCTCTCCACCCTACAATCCTCTTCTAACACAAAACTCTCTCTTCCCAGCTGGAATTCAGGGAATTGTCACCAGTCCCCATCCATGCAGGATGAGTGTAAATGTGATTGTGAGGGGCACAGAGGCTGCTCCCCATCAGCCTGGCAGCACTTCAGAGCCCTCTGGCTGTGCTGGGGCTGCTCTGTGTCGCTGTCCCGTGGAGCTGCAGCAGCTCCACCCCTGTCAGAGCACACTGATCCCCGCGGAGAACGTGGCATCTGCAGAGTGCCTGACACCAGGCACAATTCCTCCTGCCAGGGCTCTGGGGAAGGTGCAAACCCCAAGCTTTTCCCAGGCACTGCTCACGTGTGCACAGAAGTCTCGAGGCTCCGTCTGCGGCCCCTTCAGCGCTCTGAGCTCAGCCAAGGTTGCCAATTCCCGGCTGGAGGCACGTGGAAATCCACTGCTGCCACCCCTGAGGCTCTCAGGGATTTTGGCCATTGCTCTCAGTCACAGTTCCCCTGTTCATGGTAGCTCAGTCTTAGGAAAGACAAGTTCTGCCACCAGCTTTGCTTCCAGGCTGTGCTAAGAGAGGGGCTTTTCAGTGTGCAGAAATTAATGCTGTGTTTTCAAGAGAAAAGATCTGTGTATCCCAATCTGATTTGTAAAAATCTGTTGTTTTTAATTTATTCATCTTAATCTTAATACTAGGTAAAATGAAAAAAAAATAAATAAATGGCAATACAAAATAGATTAAGACAGAAACATTAAAAAATATTAACAGCCTGTGAGCAAACCAGCAGTTTGGCCTGGCAGTGCAGGTGCTGAGGGTGCCAACTTAAGGTTAAAAAGTGTCCTTGGAGGGAGGCATAGTGTCCCCCAGGCAGTGCCCAAGGGGTGCTGTGTGTGCAGGGGGTCTCTTACTCACATGGCTGGGGTTGTGCTCTCCTGGCCAGGACTGGAGTCTCCACTGCTGCTCCAAGGCCGGTGTGTGAATCCAGACAGGAATTATTTGTGACCCCAACACTGAGGCAACAAAAGCATCACTGGAAAGTGTTGTTCCTTGTCCTTGAAGCAACTGTAAACGCAGCTGTGAACCAAACAAGCCAGGCATTTGTATAATGGTGTTTGAAGCTGTGTAAAAGATAATGCAACAGTTAATTTTCTCTTTAGTTGGGCTTTTCCTCACCATCAGTTGCTACAATCCCTAGCATTTTTCAAGGGCACAACTTGCAACAAGACAGCAATAACCATTACATATTGTTTTCAGTAAGATGCCATTCTCCTTTCTGGCAGGCAGCGATGGGCTTTTAATGGGTAACACTTGTTTCATAAAACTCCCAGATGCTGCCTTGACAATTGCAAGGGAAGAAAAGAGAAGAAAACAAACCCAAAGCAAGGGCAGAAAATACAAAGATTCCATTGCAATGATTTATCTTGTGTCCCAGGCTGATGTAGAGTTTTGCTGGATCAGATATCTCTGGTGAACCTGTACTGCAGAGCTCCACTGAGATCCTGGCTCTCCCACCTGGCGCAGCCCCCGGCCACTCTGAGCCACGATGGGAAATATTGGGAGGCAGTGAAACCAGTCAAGTAAAACCAAAAATTATAGGGGATAAGCTTTCAAGACTATAAAAAACACAACAAATATAGAAAAAAATACAGATGACAAATAAATGGCACCAACCTCATTCCAGAAGATGAAGGGCACTGTGATGTAGCAGCAGTTTAACCTGAGGAATGGGAAACATCTGTAAGAGCCAGGACAGTAGCCACGGCCATTGCTTTTCCATGCCTATTTTTTGAGCCCTCTGACATATCTGGTGAGTGGCAAGAGGCATTTTTTTTCCCCTGAACAGACCCAAACCATGAGACTTCGAAGAGTCTGTCAGCACTGTTTCATGACTGGTGCCAGGGAGCTCAAGACAAGAGACTGAATGCCTTGGTCTGAGTGGTTGGACAAAATCCAGGAGCTCCTGGGTTATATTCTGTGTGACAAAGGAAAACTGGATAGCCACCATCTATCTTTGAAGCAATCCTGCTTACCTACAGAAGTTCTGTTCCCCAGGTGCAGGGGGAGGCAAGCCACAGGAGATGGATTTACTTGCACAGCCCTAGGTCAGGTTCAGCCAGCCCTGTTCACCCCCAGCTTCCCACACTTATACCAAACAGACTGGAGAGGGAGCATTTCCTCTCTCGCTGCTTCTCTGCTCCAGTTTCCTCTTTTATGCAGAAACAAGAATTTCCAGGGAAGAGCTAAAAGGGTCATGACTAGCACGTGTGCACACCTTTGTTTTGGATGGTAAAATCTCTCACACAGTCTGAGGTGTCTGAGTGTTACACAAAGCAAGTTCATGAATTTTCCCTCATCTAATCCCGCTGTCTCTACCCTGAATGGCTGTCTGTGCAATCCAGTATTTACTCATCACAGCAGGTCCAAGAAATACTGCACCAAAAAAACATTATTTCCTAAATTTGGGTACTCTGCAAAAATTCACAAATTCAACTTGTTTAATAATGTGATAACAGCACATTGTAATTTTTAATTAAAACTGTATCCTCTCATTATGTCTACATGTCTTTTATGTGGATGTCATCCAGAAGCAAGGCAATGCAAGCTGATCTCCACAGAGAGAGAGACAGAGAGACACTGCACCCTGACCTTGGTGCACAGGGATTTTTTCAACTTGTCACACAAACACTTTACTGGCAGAAAAAGTAACTGGAGTGGAAAGGGAGCAGCTCCCAGCTGACAGAGTAGCCATACTTCCTTGGATCAGCCTATAATTTGGAATAAAAAAATTGTAAAAGCAAAAGGAGACTTCTTTTTCTTAAAGCAGAAATGCCCAGTAATACCCATGTTCTACCTCGTGTGAGTCCAAGAATTTTTAAGGCATCATGTGCTGAGGATGGGACAGGGGAGCATCAGGCAGAGTCACTGGTGTCCTCTGAGGGCTTGCTGCTGGATTAGCCTGTAAAATTCCCAATAGTTTAAATGCAGGCAGGATTTAAAGCCCTGCAGAGCACACCTACCTGAGCAATACAGGAGATTTTACAGGACAAGAACAGGTTCAGTGTACAGACAATGGACATTCCCACACAGACACAGTCCCTGCACTCCATGCTGCCTCCTCAGACACTGACTTCCTGAGGCTTTCCCTGGATGCTGTTTTAATTCCTCACACTGTGGGGCTCCATCACTAACTCACCCTGGGAGATCATTCTGCAGTTTAATAGACATTACTATGGCAGTTTTACCTCTGACATCCATCCAAAATTCTACTTTTCCTAATTTAATTCCATTCTCTACGAATCTTTTTTTTTCCTCCATGGGTGTTAAGGAGTTCCTTTCTTATTCCAGATGAAGTCAAGCTATTAGCAACCAGAAATCTGTCTTATTCCTTCTCTGGAGAGATGGAACTTTGAGCAGGTACAGGTAGGTAATTATGGACTGCACTTAGGGGTCCGCTAAAACTTTCTGCCTGATTTCCTGTCCCTGCAGGGATGATAATTAGTGTTCCACATGGAAATATCCCCTGCCCCTTGGCAACGAGCAGGGCAGCACTGAGAGGCTCCAAGAGCAGCTCTGTGCAGCCCCCCAGGCTGGGAGAGGAGAGGGAAGCGTGTCCCAGCTCTGCAGAACACCAGAGACCAACCAGAGCCATGAAATTCACTGCCAAAGGGAGCATGGACAGAGATCAGCTTCTCCCCAGGCTGGGGTGCCCCACTGCAGAAACAGAGAAACGTGACTCTTGGAAGTTAAATTCATAAGGAGAGGAAAGAATGGGTTCAGTTCTGAGTGTACATTGGCTTAAATCAGGAGCTGCTCTAATAATCCTGTGGAATGGGATGGGTCTGAGCACCAGCTGAAGTGAAACGCAGCTCAGGCTGAGGCCACGTGTGTCCCAGGTTTGCTTTTACTTTCTACATTATTTTTCCTTAATATAAACATCGACCACAACAGGTACTAACAGAAGACTCCAGGAGCCTTTCCCAGCTGTTTCGGGCTTCAACCCCCAAAGCTCGCCTCCCATAATTCAGTTTCACCTTCAGGCACTTTAAAGTTAATAGACTCATTTGAGCAAAGGGCTTATTGGAAATCCATGTTGGAAAATAGTGAGCCTAAGTGTGCTGGTGCCAAGCTATAAACACATTTATACAGTGCAGTAAATCAGCGTCACCGCCTCTCTTTGGAAGGGCAGGGCCAATTAAGCCAAATTAAGCCCAATGTACAGGATATGAGGATGGAACCTGTTCAGCTGTAGGCAGGTAGCAAAGGCTGCAGCCACACCACCCTGCTGGGCCTCGTTTTGACATGGCCCTGCCAGGCCAGATTTGGTCCCATTTGCTTTTGGATTGTCATTCACTGATGGCTGAAAAAGAACAGGGGTTTGGAAAGGCACTGGCAGCGCTCCGGGGGTGCGGCACGAGGACAGGCAAATGGAAGAGGCAGGAAAGGTGATGCCTGTGGACATCTTCTGGTACAAGGTCCACAAATGTGCCTGGGCTCTGAAATGCAATAATGGTCCTGGACTCTCTCTCAGAATTCCTGCATAGGTAGAGGTCGTATGATTTGACCAATGACTTTTTACAAACAAGAAAATGTTATTTGTTATCAGAGCATTTCATTCAGCTACCTTAATTACCCCCCTGCCTCTTCTGTGCTGTCTAAAATACAAAACAAGGTACAATAATAGGATGGGGTGTTTCAGAGAGCTGGCTGGTTTTTAGTTCATTCTATCCAATATTATATTGGATATTATTTATAATTTCTCTTTGTGGAAAAGCCGTCATTGACTATTTAATGTAAAGTTACCACTGCCTGAATAGGTGCTCAGATCACAGAAGCTGTGGCTAGAAGCTGACAGCTGGCAGAGCCTTCCTGTAAAAACTCTAAAATGCATTAGAATGCACACCAAAAATATTTTTTTTAATGAAAGAGAAAAGGAAGAAAAAGAGCCCTGTGTCCCATTTAAAAGGGGAGAATTCAGACTTTGAGAGAGAATGAAAAACGGGGATTTCAAACATTCTTTTAAAGGTTTTGTTTTACTTTTAAGATTCAAAGAAGTCAAGCACTCTTGTTGCTGCCCTAGTCCCTAATGCAAGATGTTCTTGTGCTACTCTGCCAATACCTAAAGCAGGAGGAAGAGATTTCCAAATGAAATGCCAAAAGCAACTGCCAGGTCACCAGCAGTGCCTGCCCAGGTCCTAACCCATGGCACTAATTATCCATCTGCCTTGTCAGCTGCCCGAACAGATTCTCCATCCTATGGCTGGGCACAGGAACAGGCTGCCTTTCCTCTTCTCACACATCTTACCGTGGGTAGGTTTGTTTGGAATGATTTCTCAGCTTTGTTCTAGCTATTCTGTTTGCACCTTCACTCCTCTCGTTACTTGTTTCGCTGCTCATTTACTCACTGGAACAAAAATTGTCTGAGACAAGCACTAAAGAAGCGAACGTTTGTGAACAGAACCCAAACTCATTCCCTTCAGGAAGTTGGCAACTCACTGCACCATCATAAAACAGAGGTATTCACCTTTAAATCCTGGCTTTTGAAAGCAAGGAGAAACTCACATAAGCAGAAAGCCCATAACACACAACCCAAAATCCACAAATACCTCACACGAGCAGGGCGATGCACTCACCACGCTGGGGAGCAGCCCACAGCCTTGGAGCAGCATTCATAAGCAGCTACTTGGCAGTCCTTTGCACAGGAAATGCTGTCACCTGAACAAATAAAGGAGATATCCTGGTGTGGGCCATGGAGGCCTCTCCTTCTGACTTGTATCAGCATCATCTGGGGAAAAAGGGGATCCACAGGTGGGAAGAGCAGCGGCCTCTGACTGCAACTTCTCTCTTGTGGCACCCTGGCCACAGGCTGCTGCTGCCTGCCTTAATTCTTTAATTCTTCACCAAGGCAAGGAGGTACTTTCCATTTTCCACTTTCACAGCTTCTTCACAGTATGAATTAGCGAGCTGACTCTACCCTATGGTACATCCCAGCACGTCCCATCCTCTGCACCAAAGCCATCATTACCTGCAGAGCAAAAAAGAGCACAGAGAGAAGGGTAAAAATCTCTGTTGAGATCTAGGAAGTGATTGTTCCTGGCTGGCTATGGGGCTGTTCCACTCAGCATGGCACTGGCTGTGCAATGCATTTTCTTTCACACACAGTACTCTTGGTTTCTTAATAAATTGACTGCTTCTTCCAGTACATCAGTCCCACTTGCTTCTACGGCTACCTCCTAACCAGCCCAGTATGTCCTGTTTATCATCTTGAAGGAATTTTGAAAGGCAACTCAGAAATTTTTCTGAGTTTTCCAAGTGTGTTTCACTATTCCAGTGTCTGTTGTATTGAGCTTGGATCATCCTCGTATTTACAAGGTATGAGAGATTTCATTCAGTGCAGATCCTCTACAAAGTCTAAAGGCTCCACTCAAACACCAGATTGGTGTGGCTCCACATTTGCTTTTCCACGCTCATATTAAACAGACTTTAAACAGTTGACTTATTTGTGGCACATGATGTTGCATGGTCTGGAAATTAAATATCAGGGTTGTGTTTCACCCCCTAGTCCCAAGGGGTTAATAAAGGAGTCTGTTTGCTGATTGTTTTCCTGAGATATAAACTTATAAAAGTACATTAGTTCCTCATCAATTCGCAGTTTATCTCTACATTTTCCCTGATGGCCTTCCCAATAGCATCGTGGGGAGGAGTGAAAGGGCCACAGGGATTCCAGAACAAATCCTTTGCAGAACAATTTACAATATGTACATTTGTTTACTTCTGCCATATTTGCTACATCTGCTTCCCTGACACTAATTAATTAGGCCTTGTTTAATTAATTGTGTTCTCTGAGCAAGGTGCTGTTGATATTTTGCAGCTGGTCCTTGAGAGGGGAGCTGTGCAAGGCAGAGCTCCTGACAGCATCCCTGGTTTGAAGTCCTGCAGCTCCCCACACCCTGCCAGTGCCCGTGGCTTGTGCAGCTGGAAGGAACCCGCTGGATCTGAGCCTTCAGCCCTCCTGGAACTGCCAAAAAAACTTCAAGTGGAGAAGTAACAGTCCAAAATCTGACTTGAATCTAAATAAACCCCAAACCCAGAAACACAGATGTAGATAGCATACCTTGAGCTTCCTCCCAGTGAGGCCTCCTCCTCTATTTATTTACTTATATAGATTTATCTCAACTTCCTTGGGTCACACTCGGATGTGACGGGACAGGTCTCGTCCTGGAGCAAGTTAATAACAGCCCCACAGGTCTGCCCTGCACATCATTCCTGTGTGTGACTGCACGTCTTGTTTTACACAGATGGGCAATCACGCATATAAATGCTCCTATAATTCATCCCAGAGTTGCTCAACTGTTTATACAGGCAACTTTCCATCTATTCCTAGCGCTCCACATGCTACAGAGGTGTTTTCTCTTGTTCCCAAAATATTATTCTTCATTAATTGAATTCTGGTCAAACAGCTATACCTTTGAGGGCTGGAGATTCTTCATCTCCTAACAGGCTCTTTGAGGTCAGGCAAAGAAGAAAGTCTAATATTTTCCACAGTGCTATGTAGCCTACTAATTTCTTGTCAAAATGGCATGTGTTTACCATCCCTCACTGATACTCTGACTGGACTTTGGCAAGGAAACCTTTGCCAACAACCACTTTACGAGCAAAACCTGCACATTTCTCCCTGAGAGCTATTTTTTAAGAACACTTCCTTTAAGGAAAATTCTTCTCACAAAATTTCGGGGCTGACTGAGGTGTCCTGCTCCCAGCCTGGCTGCACTGATTTCAGCAGCATCACACCAGAAATAAACAGGATTGTTTTTGGTGGCACGATGTCACATGCATTGACCATATCCCTGGCAACAGCAAGCCTGCCCTGTGGCTGTTTGAGAAGAAAGAAATGGAATGAATCAGAATAAGCCACAGTCCCTGCAAAAAGGGGGGGAAAGGAAAGAAAGGAAGAAAGGAGCAGCCACAGAGCGGGGTCTGGGAAGATTAGGGGCTGGTTTGAAAACACTGAGGCAATGGACTGAAACCCAAAAGATTACTTGTCTACTTTCTAGCTGCAGCAATAATCATTCTCTGCTAATTACCTTCCCTTTTGTGCCATGGGTGCCATTAGCAGTGTCCCAGCAGTGTCCAGGATAGCCCAAGGGTGCACAATGCATGTGCTGGGGGACGTGCCATGGCATCAGCCACCAGACACATTTCAGGGAGTTTCAATGCCTGAGCTTATTTTGTTTTGCTTGCAAACATCTGAGCTCTCTGACTTGGCAAAAGGAAAAAAAAACCAAAACAAAACCAAAAAATAAAGCACTGCATGTCATTCTCTTTAGAGCTCCACATAAAAATCCTATCAGTGCTTTATAGACAGCAGTATGGTGGTTTTCCTAGCTTCAAATGCTTTCCTGTTCCTGCTACTCATCCAGATGGAAAGGTTCTGCAAACAAAAGCAGTACAGTGAAGGCATGTGAGAATTTACTTCCAGACACTTCAGATTGCAGATATTTGTCTCACTCTTTGCTGTTGGCAAATCTGTCACTGAAGGGTTGTAACTACAGGTTAACAGAAATACAGAAAACCCCTCTCTTCCTGTCTCTTTCACTTTGTTTTTCCTGCAAAGCAAGTTGTCAGCGAACACCAGTCAACACTCGATTGCTGTAACACAGGTGATTACAAGAAATATTTGATTTTCCTGAATGTTTCCTGCCTCAGTCTGTACCCAGGGTGCTGCTTCTGCTTGAAATTGTTTTTCACTGCTGTTATGTGAAGCCCACAGCTCATAACAAAAAGAGCTGATTATGTAAAACCAAAATGCCATGGGGCTGTCAAAGCCCAATACCCTGAGTGCAAAGCCCAGGCTGGGCCTTTGGGAGCCTCTGCACTCGAATTTCACAAGGGTTTTTGCTGGCTTCCAGATCAAAAGGGGCACACAAGGTAGGGTGCACTGGCATCCTGAAATTTTGAATCACTAGGGCATCTTCATCTGATGTTTTGTTGGGTGATTTTGCAGTATTCCTCCTCCAGGTTACCATAAGCAGTCTAAAAAGTGTGTGAAACTTCTCCCTCTTGCAGGATAAGGTCTGAATTTTCATTTTGCACTCATCACAAACAGAAACAATCATTTCAGAAAGGCTGCCATTACAGTTAAATTAGGAAGTAAGAAGTCAGTTTTACATAGAGGAGTTTGTTTTTCAGTGGAGCTTATTAATAGAATGAAGGCATGGCTTTGATAAATTTGGAACACACCCAAACTACAAATCAGAGTTTTTAACTTCCAAAGTTGGCAGTCAGCTGTCTTTGTTTTCCTCTTTATTTTTAATTTATTTTTTCCAGAGCTTTGACAACTTCTGCTCTAGCTGTGCAAGTTAAGAGTTGTGGTATCTGCAGGATTACTGCCAGAATTTAAAAAAAAAAAATCATCACTTTAGACCCTTGCTTCAGAGAAGTCTTGTCATGAAAGGGAGTTGGAGAGATCTTTCCCTTGAGTAAAGCAAATGACATGAAACAAAGCTGAGAAATGCTGTTCAAAGCCAACATCACACCCTGGGACAAGATCAAGACTCTGGAAGGTTTCTATGTCTTGGAAGGCTGGGTTCAAAGGAAGGGTGGTAAACTCACTTTTAATATAAAGAAGAAATCTCTTCAAAAAGAAGATTGAATGAGTTTAGGCAAGTACATTTTCTTTAGACTCTCTTCAGGAGCTTGGATGCCTCTCTCATGAAACCTACTGCTTGTCTCTGGAAGTTTCAGCTCTAAATTATGAACAGGGTAGTGAACATCAGTGAAAGAAAAACAAATGAGGAAAAAAGGGCTTGACTGAGGACCAGGCAGAAGCTCAGGCAAAAGCATCTCCCTGGTGACATCCCACTGCTACCCAACAAAGGGGATGCCCAAACCTGTTGAGGGTGAGGGGCAGCAGAGGGGAAATCCTCTCTTCCTGCCCCAGCACCATGTTCCACCTCTGCAGACATCTCTGGTATTCCTTGGCAGCACCTCACACTGAGCTCACCTCCAGTTTGTACTGACATGCTGTAAACACCAGCCCATGTCCCAAAGCTGGGCAGGAGAGAAGTTTTCTTTACTCTGTCTCACCAACCCTTGCACTTAAATTTATATTCCTACTATGCTTGCACCAAATATGCAGAAATAGAGAGAATTAACAAAAAAAAACCCCAAACAAACCAACCAACCTCAGGCTATGCAAACTGATCCTCCTCTCCCTCGCTGGCAGCTTGGAAGACTCCTGACAGTGTCACACAGGTGGCACCTGAGCAGGTGCTGCACTGCCACTCCCAGCTTTCCACAGATCAGGCTTCACTTCACCTCCAGTATGGCTAAGTCAGGCTCCTGTTGAGCAGAAAATACATGAGATTTTGCTTCTTGCAAACAGCTCCATCCTTCTAGAAACTGTTTGTGATGTGCCTGGCCCTAGAGGAGTGCCAGGCCCGATTAATGTTGTTTAACAAAGCATTTGGCTTGCCTCTGATGAACAGCAGAGGTCAGAGGGCAGGGACCTATGCTGAAAGCTAATTGCTCAAGTTATTTGTCTGGCTTGTGTTAGGTGCTGGGATCCTGCTACACAAGTCAGAAGTGCAGAGTGCCCTATGTGCAATATTGTAATTTAAAAGCTTCTAACACAAGAGAGAAACAATTCACTGATCATCTCATTAGAGGCTTAGCTATTTACATCTGGACAGCTTCTCTTCTTTGATCTTGTAAGAAAAATGAATGGAAGTTTAGGACACATTTAATTGCTTTTATAAAGGCTTGGATCCAAGCAAAACACACTTAAAATCTGGGAAATAACAATGAGGGGTTGTAAATTTATTCAATACCCTCTGAACAGTTCTAGATACCAAACCAGAGAATTCCAATGTTAAAGAATACAAGAGTGCTGACTCCTGGTTTCTATTTGACTCCCATTACAAACCTCATCTGTATGCTACTAAACCAAACAATATCCTTCTCCCTGTGGACACATGAATGAGCTATAGAGACATTGTTTGGTTTTATTTTTTGCCCCTTGCAGTGTACAAAAAACTGCAAGCTCTGTAGCCTGAAAATTTCACTGAGTAGAGAAATCTCTGCTCCCATCTACCGGTGAGCAAAAGAAGAATGCCCATAAAACCAGTAAATCTGTTTGGTTGTTTTACCCAGGTACCATCTGCTTGTTCATAAATGTAGTGGCTTTTGTTCTATTCCACTCCTCATTCTTCCAGTGGCACTTTTGGATAGATGTCATAGTTACATTTCAATGACCAAAAAGTCCTGCCAGTCTTCTCAGTATCCTGTACAGGGACGGCTTCTCTGTTAGTTCCTGCAAAAGATTTCATGAGTAGACATGATGGGGAAACTGATCCACGATGGGGCTGAACAAAGGAAAGGAGTTTTTTAATGCAAACCATGCTAACAGCAACAGAAGTGGCACATCTTGGAGGCTGGACTAGGTGGCCTTTAAATATCCCTTCCAACCCAAACCATTCTGTGGTATTCACTGAAAATCCTTACTCAATCACTAAATAATTAATTTGATTAGGTTTTAGGAAGGAGATTCCAAAAGCAACAGAATATCCATTTGCAGCTGGCTGGCAGGAGGCCTGCCCAGGCAGAAGTCAGAACTCTGGGGCTGTGGTATCCAAGCTGCTAAATTACAGGGAAATTTAGAACAAGGGGAAGGAGAAACGATGCTCAATAAGCAAAGTGTGCCTACAGAAAATTCACAGCATCAGCTGGAAACCAAATCACTGGACTGCTGCCAAAGGTGCTGAATGAAGTAGATGGTTCTATCTACTGCGGACTGTTTCCCCAAAGTTAATGGTATCTTTGCCTTGCCACTAGCAAAGGCTTTGTGTTTCCTAAGAGTTTTGTACTTGCAAGCGATGAACAACTGCCTGAAGGTGCTTGGAAAACATTCCAGGTGGGAAGGGGCACAGTGCTGTACACAGCTTTAAAGAGCAGTTGTATTGACCACAGCCTTACTGCTAGCAGGAGTTGAGTTCTGGGTATCCAGTGACTAGGGGTGGTGGCAAAAGTGGAGGAGAACGTAGTCAAAAGGAAGTGAATCACTGGATTCATATGGAAGGGCTGAATTTCTGAGCTCACCAGCTTCTTTGCTGGAATTTTCTCAGCATCTGAATCTTAAGGGAAGCCTCACTGCCATTGTTAGGAGCAACATTCAGTTCTTGCCATGCCCTCATTGGTGGTCATTGCTATTCCCAGGTCATTAGGAAGAGGAACAAGCACAGTAAGGAATGTGAAAGAGGGCTGGAGGGAAAAGATGCTGCTGAATAAATCCATACCAGGGTGAACACAGCACTGAGACAGAATATCATTCAGCAGGAAGGTTTATCACTACAAACTGGCATGTTGCAGCTGAACTGGGGTTTTCTAAAGAGAGCTGCACCCACAGACAGCTGACTGATGAGTTCACCGGATAAAAGACTGTTCAGGAGTTCATCCACTGAAAGGCTCTTTACAGGCTCCACTTTCTCACGGTCCCCCTCTGGAAGGAGTTACTGTGCTTGTAAGAGTTCCACAGCCCGTGCCTGTCCTCCCATTGTTTCAAGTTAAGGGAACATCAGCTGGTTTTGCTATTGTGAGCAGGGGCCACGATGGAGGGCTAATTGCTTCTGTTCAGCTAAATGTCTGTTTTATGGGGCCAGGCTATTGCAGGCACCCAGCTGGACAATGGGACAGCGGCCTGAGCCTGTGATCTCCCTCTGACAGTGGGCATTTAGGCCACTTCTGAGGGAGCTGGCAAGAAAACTCCTTGTTTCTTTTTCCACACAATAAATAAAACCCCCAAAAGATAATTAGGTAATTCAGAGTGGATAGTGATTATCCATGGTTTGGGAGGAATTTCTTTCTGACAAAGACTCCTCTGCATCTGTAGTACAAACTGATTTTACTGTGAACTTGCTACCAGCCAGAGGAAGCAAGCTTCCCAGTGGAAATCTGTAAGGTGGGAAGCGTTTGTTCTCGTTAGATGCACACAAGGATACATGAAGGTTATTCCTAGCAAGCTACATTGCATCCTTGCTAAAGAAAATGTGAACATTTCTACCCCTTGGTGAAATCAAGGTACAGAAACATGTATTCCTAAAAGAATGCCTTTCTCTGGGGCTTTGGGGTTTTGTTTTCAGACCAGTGCCAGCTTCTGTAAGAGGCAGGTCTCTGAGCCTCTCTGAGCCTGACAGAATCATGCTTTATTGCCTCTGTGGCAAAAAAAGTGAATCCTAATAAATTTTAACCAGCCAGTTGATTCTGCAGCACCAAGACACAGAGCTTATTCCAGCTGCTCCTCCTTTTTTGGGTGCTCAGGTGGTTGAACACCAGGACTGAACACAGCATTTCAGGGATGTTGAGGGGCAGAGATGACAAAGCATGTGCAGGGTGTTTCTTAATGCTGGCCTATTCGAATGATGAAAATTAAAGTAGCCCTGTGGATGTTTACTGGCATCCTGTAATAGGTTCTTCACAAAAAGTCAACGCAAGCAAGCCTGGAGATTGACTTGGAACTCAACTTCATTCATTACTTAAAGGTGAGGGTGTAATGACATTTTTCCAAACAGAGATGGCTTGCCTTGTGGATGACTGGCCTGGTCTCCCTAAATCTCAAGGCTTGTAGATTTCTCCTATTCCCAGGTCATTTTTATATTTGAATTCCAAATATTCCTGCCTTTCTTTTCCAACACAAAATATCTGGACTAAAGAAGGCATTCAGAAAAAATGTGCTTTATCTAACTTGCAATAAAGATATAATTTCTGCATTGTGTGCTTACAAAGCAGTAAAGGCACTGCAAGAAGTACCATTAATGACTCAGCATCACCCCCTGAAGATCAGTTTTGTGTCTGGAATCTTTCTGGTGGAAGCCCCTTGGATTCCCCAGGTTCACCTTTCCCTGCAGAGGCTCCTACACCTGAGTACAAACTAGCAGAGGGTGAGGACAGGGAACAAGCAAGATCACAATCAAATCCTACCAGTTCTGCAGTGTGCATCCAGCAGGCAGAGGGTGAACTGGGTGAGGAGGTGTGAGCTCAGAGATCCTCATCCTCACAGGAGATTTGGAAGCTGAGAATGGTCCCCCATGGGATGAAGGCACAGGGTGCAAAAAGGAGAAAGCATGTGGAGAGAAAAATGCAGAATGAGGGTGACACAGAAAAGCTGAAAGTTGTGTTTGAGAAGTTAATTGTGAACCCAGAATGATGCAGGAAGCAGCAAGCTTATCAGAGATCTGTGCATGGCCTACAGTATCAAATGTTATGTTCACAGGGAGACCAGACAAACAAATTGGCAGGATATGTCAAGAGAGTCTAGACTGGAAAAGGTCTCCTGAGAAATTAATTTCCAAATCTTTAATCTACCCCATTTTATAAAATTTTATCTACAATAATGCAGCTTTTCACACATCCCTACTTTGAGAAAAATGCAGTTAAATGCTGTTGGAAAACAAAAAAACCCCCAACCCACAAAGCCCACAAAAAAAAATAAAAAATGAATGTGTTCTTTTCTTTATCTAACTTCACATTTTCCCAAATGCAACTTGAAGCCTCATCCAGGGAAATATTTACATATGTGCTTGTGTCATTCTGACTGCCCCCACACTTCCTGTACTCACTGGAGCCCATCTGATGCTTTAGACTAGGTGTTGAAATGCCCTACTGAACCAAAGCCACTAATTCTGATTTTTTTTCTTTCTTTAAGGTGGAGAACAAAGAGATATCTCCCTCCTGGAAGCCTCAAGGGTTGGCAAGAAAGGAGATGATGTGGGAAACCTTGTGCCCCTCTTCTCCCAGGTGACATGAAGAGCACTGCCAGATGTGCCATGTCAGAAGTATTGCAGAAGTGTTTTTTTCCTAAGACATGCAAACCTCAATCCTTAGGTCTTTTCAGGAAAAAATCCCACTTCATCTGAATGCAACAGAGAACAGGTACAAAATTGTTTTGCAATGTGTACACTGTGGAAGCTCATGGATATTCTTCTGGTATTTTACTCACAGAGCTGTCACTGCCTGCACATTAAAAGAAGTGGAAAAAGCACAGCCCCTGAAGAGATCATTAGTATTTCTTTCCTCCTCATCTGGCTCTTTCTTTAATTCCTCTTCCCTTTCCCAGAGAAGTGTATCAGATTGTTCTGAACAGGATGCCTCATCTCTGACTTATGCACAGGACAGCCACAAGTGCAGAGTATCTGCTGATCAGGCTAATGCTGGAATCACTGTGATTTTATGGCACCACAAAACACACCACAGTGGCAGAGCACACAGGCTCTTATTTCCTGTTACAGACAAACACCCATTGAGCTGTCCCCACCACATCTGGGGAACCTGTCTTACCATACTGCTTTTTTTGTTGCTTTTCAGGATATCTCACTGAAGTAATGAGAACAGATCAACTACAAACTTGCAGGGGAAAAGCACACAAATTTTAGATGTTAATCTCCAATTATCAGTGACTGAAAGGGCAAAGGAGCCTGCCCCAGTGCCACACTCAATATTCCTCACAGGTGAGCTCTTTCTACAGCCCTCACTTTTCATTGTCAACTCTTTTTTGACAGCAGCTAGGAGTTTTTAGTTTTATTTCTAAGATTTTTCTGCATTTAGTGTTTTCATCTGTCCATCCCCTCTCTGCTAGAGAGAAATGACCCCTCGCCTCTGGTGCTAATTACACCTGTGTAATACACCTGAGTCCTTCCTGTGATTCTTGGAAAATTACCTTTATGGCTCTTTGAGAGAAGCACCTTTTTCTTAGAGATCTCTTTAATGTGGCCAGATTTTTCTCTCATTGCAACACAGAATCCTGACTGACAAGCAGCAGTTTGTTTGGAACATTATGCAAAGGAAAGTGCATCAAAATACCTGGAATGATGATTCATCAAAGACTTCAAATTGCCCAATTCTTTTTTTGGTGATATTCTGGAGTCTTTTCTACAACTGGTGTATTCCTGCAAGGTAAATGTGAGACAGTTAATAGGATCCTACCAGCACTGAGCACTTCTGAGAGTTTACTGCACTTTTGGAATTTACATTTTTGGTTTGTCATTCCCCAAATGGTCACAGCTCTTCACCCTCTTGTGCTTGAGCTTCCTGCTGCATCACTTCCACCCCTCTCTCTTTGAATTCTCTGTGTGTGAAGGGTGGTGGAACCAAAGCCAGAACCACCCAGCCTGCCTCAAAGAAGGGGTTTTCTGGTAGTGGAATACTGGTTTAAACATAGCCAAAGCCTGTGTCTTCTTCATTACTGCATTTAAGGAGAAGAGTTCTTTTAAGAGCTATTTTTGCCATCCCTGTGAATCTGAAGCAATCGTGGCGTTTTGTGGGTTTCTACCGTGTAATTTCAATATGCAACAATCTCTCCAAGTTGAATAATTTGGAATCCACGCACGCTTTGCAGTTTCGAGATAATTTGATCTGAATAGCAGTTTCACGTAAATGTTTTGGCAGCAGTGAAAATACCCTCAGCATTACCACTTGCAACTTGAAACACAAATAGCGATTTCAGATGCTGACAACGAAAGAGCTTGATAGGCAGGTTGAAATTGTTAATTCCTCGGTCTGAAACTGATATTTTTCTCCCTGAAAGATTTGAAAACAAATCTACTTTCAACAGGTTATTTCGGTATTTATGTGATACCAGCAACATCTGTGCAGCTCCCTCTCTTCTCCTGTGGGCAAGCACTGTTAGGGGAGTGAGAAGGAACACAGATCTTGCTTGCTTCACCCCACAGCTGTGGGGAAAACATGGGATATGATGTTTGAAGTGCTGGATAATTGGAGGAAGTGGATGGAGAATGATAACAGCAACAGGGAAGTTTCTCAAGTGATTTGAGAAGGTTGTTTGGTGCAGGCTGGATGTTTGATTATCTGTGCACTGGATACCCACTTCTCTCTACTTGAATAATACATGGGAACCAAGGATTGTTTACTTTAAAATACCAAAATGAGAAATGACCATGTTCTGAAAATAAAACCTGTGAGTTTCAACTCTGCCACCTCTAGGAAAGCCCAGTGGGAGGGATAGGATTGCTAGAACTAGGGGAGGCCTCCTTTTCCTTATTTGTTATCATTTAACAGAATCTGAAGGCATCTTCCTTTGCAGAGAGCAGGAAATCATTCCTGTGCAGCTCCAGGGCCACACAGAGGTTATGGTGCCCATTTCACTCGTGGTGTTAAACAACAGAGCGTTTCAGAATCGTAGTGGGGCTGTAGGGAGTCACCAAACCCTGGCCAACAGAAAACAGAAGAGCACATGCACAGTGGAGAGTTTCTGACTTTTAGTAAGAGAAGAAAACACAGTGTTCTTTAGCTGCCTTCTCCCTCCAGTGATCTCAGATACCACTGGTCATGTTCCACTACAGGGGAGATTTCTCAGGGTCACATTCGGAAGCACGTGGTCAGCAGAGAAAAAATCCCAGCCAAAACATTCCTGTTAATTGGTGATTGTTTTTTGAAACCTGAACATTATGAATCCGTGTTATGCTCTCAGCCTTTGCTCTAAGTCTGCTTGGAATCGGGAAGCTGAAGTTTTGTGGCAATGAACTGTGGTATCCTATTGAGCAGGACTAGTGTACGTATTTTGGGCACGCTAACAAACACAACCTCGCACCTGCATGTCACTGGAAAAAGAAAAGGATTGTGATTGTGCACATTATCTGTCTATAATGTCTGCTTCTGGGACACAGAGTGTAGCTGCCACTTCACCATGAGGCAGCCCAAAAGCACTGTCAAGACCTGTGAGGTGCTTGCCTTGGACAGATGAAACGTGGTGTCACTGACTTCAGCAGTGAAATTCCCAAGGAGCTTTGTGTTCTGCCCAAGATGCGCTGATATTCGCCGTACATGGAAGCAAGTGTGTTACCAGAACAAGCATCATTTTTGCTAATCAGAGAAGATGTAATCACCCAAGTGACCTGCAATGATATTTATGAATCGTGAATCTTGGATTTATTTAGCACAGACCATCTTATTTTCCTATCCAAAGCTGCTTGTTAGGCAAACTCTGAGGACTGTTAAATATCGCATGACATTCAAAAACCAGAACTTTCTAAAGCCCCTTTTTATTGTTTGGGGGTTTTTTTTTTCCCTCTCTTTGGCTAAACCTATTCTGGGTTAATATGCTTTTCAAAGTTAACCTTTCTCAATCAGTGCTTTTAATGCAGCTGTTTGAGTCAGCCAAGGAAGATGTTACGAAATCTCTCCCATTGCTGCCTAACCAAGGATGTTTCGATGGAAACATGGTCCTTTTGATCTGATTTATTTGGGAGTTCTTCTTGTGCAGCTTGTATCTCAGCAGAAAACCTAACAATCTGTTTGCTCTTACTGGGAAAAAAAGAGATTGTCGCCCTGCCAACATAATTACATTGGTGAGTTAGGGAATAATGAGTGAGAACAGATGAAATATTTAGATATAAATAGTCTGTTTTCATGTGCTGTGATTGTCGCTAATAAGGCAGGGACGTGTGGTTTGTGGTTCAGGGACAGGATGAGGAACCAGGACATCTGGATTCCTTTCCTAGCTTTACCACAGTGTATTGAAGAAGCCATCAAATCTCTTTGTGCCCCATCAGTTGGAAGTGGATAATAATGCTCTGGGGACTAATTCCTTAATGCTGTCATCTTCAGATGTTCAGGAGGGAAGAGCAATACAAGTGTACACTTTTTGCACACTAGAAGTCGGTCCAACTAAAACTTTAAATCCAGATATCTTAGAAGTTTGTGGATTAATTTCTCCTATCCTGAGTAATTTAACCCGCTTGCAATGAGACAAAAACAAGAGGAAGATTAAAACCAGTAGAGAGTGTTTGAAACACAATCCTGTAAGTTTGTGATCTTAAGCTTTCAGACACAAGTTTTTTGGGCTTTACACTCTTAACACTTTCAATAAAGAGTTGCCAATTATGTCATTTGTTCAAATCCTGAAAACTATTTAGGCCTTAACTAATGAGGCTGGGAATAATTTAAGAGGCCTGCAGTGGCCACCTACACAAGGGATGTGTTTCCCCCAGCCTATGTGTATTTTGTTCACTGCAGCTGTAAGTAATAGATCACTAAACCACAGATTAAAAGCATTTAACTGCTATAAAAGTAATTAAAGAGAAGATTAATTCTACCTAGGAGTAAATAAGCAAATTTGTAATGTAAATCATAGTGAAAAGGAGTTGGTTTGGCTTTTTTTAAACATGCATATGTTAGTGGAGAGTCTCAAAAGCAGAGTTGCTTCTTCAGCTGAGGAGGGGAAGAAAGAAACTGCTGGTAAGATGAAAGCCTCACTTGGGATGAGCACTGTATTATTTGAAGGTTTCTACTACTTATTTAAATTTCCAGTTTCCTCAAAATGAGAGTCTGTGATGCACTGGTATTTTACCTGGGTGTCAGATGGCTCTACCTACACTGGAAAGCTAAGCAGGAGCAGAAGCACAGCTGGTAGTGGGAACCCGACATCCACACCGTACATGTGGCTGAATTTTCCACAATCTTGACTGCTGAATTTCCAGTCTTCACTGCCTGGAGCTTAGGAAGCTTCCTCCTGGAGTGCCTCTCTGATGTTGGTTTCATCCACAAGCCCAGTTCCTATGCTCTGACCTGAGGTGCAAGGGAAAAAGCATGGTAAGGAGGAGAAATTAGGAAATTTGCTTCAGAAGGGCCCTTCTGATCTGACCTAAAATGCCAACCTACCCTCACCCTGTTTGTACTGTTACCCCTGAATGAGGGCAGCACCAGGGCTTGATTTGCACTTGGAATCCAGCTGGCCAAGTGAGACTGAGCACAAATTTCCCGTTGCTTTCATGGAGGCTGTGCTCTAAATCACTGCAGTTGGACACCGCTGAAGCAGCAGCTGGAATACTTATCCTGCAATATAATTTCAGATTTCTTTGAAAAAAGGCTTAAGGCTATGAGTAAGAGAAATTGGCTTCATTTTGCTGATTTTATCTCATTTGAGACCATTTTTGGGAAGACTGCAGTATTGGCACAGGAGGCACAATTATAGGGAGAATTAGCTCTTCACCATCACTCTAAGCTAATCCTGTGTGTTCTGTAATGCTGAGGGAAAAAACAACCTCCTGATGCACAAGAAATGCTCCAGGAATCTCTAGTGATTCATTCATCCATTCCCCTACTGACTGGTACATTAAAACACAGAATAAAAGTCTATGGTTAACCAAGTCCTTCCCCTTTCCTATATCCAATCCTTGCTTTCACCAGGGGAAGCGTGGGCACATGGTCTGCCAGGAAATCCTTAGCATGGCCTGCCTGGGTCTGCAATAAAGAGATGGAGGCAGCAGCATCCCAGGGCTTACTGCTGAGATCCCTCACCCACCTCCAGGAGCTTAGAAAATGAGTGCACTCAGGGAATAGGTACCTGGAGGCCCATATCCTTCTCCATAAAAATGACAATGATTCACATCACAAAAATGTTCCTAAAAAGACATCCCAAACCAACACACACACATGCACATGAGCTCTAGCTGTGCATCTGTGTACGCATGGCCATGTAAAAATAACTATCTTTGTGTGGTGAGACAAAGCAGCCTCAACTACCAAAACAACACAAATTCTTTTCCTACGGCTCAAGTCCCACTAGCAGTAATTTCATCTGGAAATGGAAAGCACAGCATTGCATTATTTGAGCACAAAGGCTGAATTTCCCTGGTTGGCACTTAGACCCCAAGCCCATGCAAACACAGCAGGAGAAACCTGAAATGATTTTGTTTCCTCGTGGCACTAATTCCATTGCTGGAGAAAATGTAATTCTATTTATGTTGACATTATAATGATAACTTTTCAGGCCAGACTCCATCCTGTCTGTTAGGCCAGACAGAGCTGAAGCACCAGCAGAGAACTAAGGAATGCCTGTTCCTTGGTGGCAGTGTGCCTGGAGCCCAGGCAGTCATTTCAACTGTAAAAATTCATTCTGTGTAAAAGATAGCTATGATTTAATTGTGTCTCGACTACAAAACCTCTCCTTTTCAAGGAGGTGGGAATTGCAGTCATTCATTGGTTTTACCTTATTAATATGAGGTGGCATTTTTAGCTATTTATTCTGGTTATTTTAATTTAATATGTTAGTGTAGATGTGCCAGCCTATCCTATTGTTCTCTCAGGGCACTGTCAGTGTGAAATGTCACCAGTCCTGAAGTCTGGATCACATTTTCATTCATCACTTCTCTGGTACAAATGGTACTACTGCCCACAGGAGAAGCAGAACTGAGGGAGGGGGTTTCAATTCAGGGCTGAAAGATTTCTTTTTCCTTATATAATTCATGAAGAACTCTAGAGCTGCAACTGAACTAAATTAAGAAATTAGAAGACAGAAACAGCTAAACAACTTATAATTTTCAAAACTTAGGCTTTGGTTGAGAATAACATTCCAGGACAAGCGGAACCCATTGCTTTTTTTACACAGGTTAAAAAAACCCCACAATTAAGCACAAAACCCCACCCCCTTATTGTTTGTGTCTGCTGAACCTAATTTTCTTTGTCTTTTCCTTCCATAGCCATACAGCAGGACAAAAGCCATTGTTACAGGATCTGTACTTAGGGTACCAGCAGATGGAATAGTTAATTGTGCATGTTGCTGGGGAAGTCAGCTAAGGTAGATTCATTTTTCCTAATTTAAGCATGTAAAAAAGAAGCACCTGGTTTAACCTCTCATCCCACCTCCCTCTGCCTCCAGCGGGGAGGGAGAGGAACAGACAGATAAGGCTGGGCTGTGGGTGGCATCACTCACTCCTTGGTGCTGCCTCCTCCACCACGGGGGAGGGAAGTGCTGGTCTATCTGAAACTCAGTTTTCTCTGTTAAACTGAAATTTTATCCTTTCTTACCACACAGAAGAGGCAGGAAGATGACTGCCAGACATGAGGGCAGCCAGGAGCACACAGGAGCCACTGACAGCCTCTGCACTTCTTGACCTCCCCATCCTCCACTGCTGGACGTAGCCAAGAGAGGTTGTCAGTGCTCATACTCCAAGCCTGGGGCACAAATCTGGCTGAGCTTATTTATTTTCCATTTTCCTCAGTATTAAAAATATGTCCTGTACATGGTGGTGCTCCTGGCATTCACCACACAAAGGCCTGTGCAGGCACCACATTTTCATAAATGCTTCATGGTAGCCTGCAGATTTCACAAGATTACATTGGCTTAAGCAGGAGGAATTTTATGGGCCTTACCAATGTTACCTGAGGAAATACAGCTCCCAAATGGTGATTTAGTGGGTTTTTTCTCCCCAAAATACAGTTATAATAGGGGGGCTAATATATGTGAACACTAGAACCAAGTTTCTTAAAGGACACTTGAACCATTTGAGATATGGAGTTTTCAACAGCCTGTTTGCTCTTAAGCTTTGCTTTTGCTGAACTCTTTCAACTTGGTTAGTATTTTGGTCAATTTTTTTAAGTAATACCAAGAATATAATTCTGAAAGCAAAAGAATTAAAATGCCAGAAAACTCTATTATTCAAATCACCTTTACTTGCTCTTAGTTTGTTTTGGTTAGCTGGTTTTTACCTGGGAAGGTTTAGGAGGTCAGTTTATATATATATAAAGTTTATATTATTATATTATATATATATTTATATTACTATATAATACATGGAGCTGATTATAGATGGAAAAGAAATGTGATTGAATTAATTTTAGTCAAAATAAATAACTCTAAAGTTTGAGGGAATAACTCTTAAGTACAAACATAAGGTCACAGGCACTGTTAAATTCTAAAATTACTACATGAAATCTAATAGGGAGCCAGTATATGAAAGCATTCGAGTATTATGGGTCACCTCTGCCTAACTTAATTTGGAATTATTTATCTGCTTGCAAATTATTAATTAGATCCATACTATGCAAAAATATAACACAAGTTAGAAATGCATATATTAATTTGAACAGAATAGCAGATGATGTAAACTTTTTATTTTAATCCCCAAATCATGCAACTTGGGAAAAAAAATAAAAAATGCAGACTACTTTAAATTTTCCACCTCTTTTGCACTCCTTGCCAGAGGTAATTCTGCAGTGCAAGGAAGAGCATTTTTGCATGGATCCTGCCCTGTCCAGAGTACTGGAAATGTCACAACAGCACAATCACAGAGTCCCACCTCCTTCACTAGAGGAGACCGGAACAAACATCTGTACATTTGGGTGATCATCTCAATTAACCTGAGTGTGGCAGAGACCTCCTTTAGCAGTTTCCCTGTCACTAAAGGAAATGAGGGTGTAATTTTATTTGTCTGATCACAGGAGGGCTGCTTGGCAGCCAAACAGCAGGTCTGATGTAAAAGGCAAAGGGGATCTATCTCTCATCTGTGCACTCTTTGTTGCACCTCAGCACTTCAGTACTCCATCACATAGAAAGCCTTGTTCCTCAAGCAGAGAATTCCTCATCTGTTTATGTGACACAGGAAAGAAAAAAGGAGATAGCCTTTTTAAAGTCTTATTCCCTTCTAAAACAGTCATCATCTGAAGCAGAAAATGTGCTTTTCTTGTTCACTTGATTTTATTTTTTTTTTGGTCAGATTTCCTGGTGTGCCATCTCACTCTTTCAAACTGCAGCATTACCAAGATATGTAATTTAAGATTAAACAGAAAAAGATGAATTATTAAACTAATTTATAGGTGCTTCAGGCTTTGTCTGAACTAGGATGGATCATTCCTTCCTTCCTCCTGAGCACTGATTTCTTTAACAAAGGTTTGCTGGGACAAAAAGTCACCTTCTACATAGTCTGTATCACCTTCACACACTTTGTCACCTTTTCCCTGCTCTAAGCTGCTACACACATACTGAATACTGCACCTGAACTCTTTATTGGGATGTTCCTTGTGTAAATATACAGGTTTGATTTAGCTGGCTGCCACAAAGGCAAACAGGAATAATGGAGAATAACTTCAGATCAGCCATCTCACAGCAAACTCTCATCATACAAAACCTGAGCTGTTCACAAAATTCTTACTTTTTTACCTCAGCCACCTTAGAAAATCATTTTGCAAGGACTGAGGGGTGGATAACCAAAAGGACTGTGGCTGGTCAAGATATCCTTCCAAGGAGCCACAGGGTAGCCACTTAAAACTCCATCTGCTTTGTCCCTGTTCACCTTTGCCAGGTCCCCTCCAAAGGAATAAATCAGGAGGCCCAATTTCTTCAGGAGAGCTGAGTCAAACTGTGCCAATAATGACTTTGCAAATATTTGTGAGTATTTATGAGGTGCTAACTCTTGTCTCTATGTGTGCAGCTTAGCCTGGATTCAGCTGAAATACCCAAAGTCAAGTACTTAGTGGTTAAGCCTGATTTTGGACACACAGAATGCACATCCAATGCATCCAAAATTCATGTTTGACATCTACCCATCCAACTCAACCCTGCAGGACACTGCTGAGTCATTTCCCACTGGTCAGAGCCACCTAAAATCTCTGTACATAAAATCTAAGTGCACAAAGCAGGCAGGAGAGTAATAGTGTGGTCACTCTGCACAAATGGCCATGCAATAACTACAGGCAAGGGAAATTAGGTCTTATGAGTATAAATGTTGAGCTAAAGAATTAATTTTTGTTTCTCTGCAAGAGCTCAATGAGGCATAAAAATGTTCAGGGATGTTTAATCCTTAAGGGAATGAGATTTATCAAAGCAATTTGAAAGGATGATATGTTCACCTCTGGTTCTACAGGCAAAGAAAAGCTCAGAAAGTCCAAGGCATTAAACAACTTGGAAGCTATTTTTCATTTTGCCAAGCTGTTTTTCATGCTGCTCTCATTGCCTCAAGTTTGATGCTAGAGTGCAAGGCTAATCTGGTTCTGGCAAGCAATCACTAACTTGTGATAAGCATTAGGTTTACATTTAAAGATCAAAGCAAACATACATAAACCATTTTGAGTACATACATATCATATCCTCTGCTTTATGTCCTGGCCCTTGGGTTTATATCCCCTCATCACTGTGTTTCCCTCTTACATGCTTAGTGAGTCCAGGGACAACTGGAATCTGTATTGAAAAGAAAATGTAGTTAATTTAATTTATAATAATATGTAGCGGGCTAGAGATTTCAGGCGGAAATTTTATCTATTGGTCAGAGGAGCTACAAGATCTGTTACTGTCACCCTCACTGGAGGGATGGTGAAAGCACTGAAGTTTTTGAATACTCATTGTGCTGTTTTCTTCCCCTCTGACAACAGCCCAATGATCAAACCATTAACAATACACATGTACTTAGACGAAATTCCCATTTATCTGAAAAATCCCAGTGCTAGAGCTGCCCATAACTAAAACTGATATTCAAACATCATCGTGGCATGAGAGGGTGGAAGGTTGGCAATTTTTCCATTTCAGGGTAGATTCCACCTATTCTTCCCAGAAGTCAGCCTGGTCCATGGCTAAGCCATCCACAGGTCATCCCTATGATCAAATCCTGAATCCCTTGCTCGTGACTGAACTCCACCTGGGATCCATTTGTACAGGTTTTTACACTTCAATACATCTGACCCTTTACTTCTGTTTAGTCTAACCTTTTCCTCTGGATAAAAACAAAAGGCATCATTTTGAAAACCTGCATTGAAAACTCAATTTTCCCAAGCATTTTATGAAGAGTTTAAGAGTACAGATTTCAGCTCAGGCTCTAAATAAAACTCTCAAGACTTTGGTTTGAATAAAACTCAGCCTGCTGTAAGGTCAAGTATTGAAAGCATGCTTCATTTCATGTCTTAGGAGAAACTGCAAGAGATGATTTCTGCACAGTGATTTGCACAGGTTAGGAGCTATTTATTCATCTCTACTTACATGTAACAGCTTCTTCTAAAGTCACATGTAAAAACAAGCAAACTGATGGCAGATTTACAATCATTTTGCAATAGGTATTAAAAGTGTGCTTTTAAAAGAAGTATCTGAGCCTGTTCTGGGTGTAGTAAACCACTGGGGAAAAAAAAAAAAGGACACCTGACAGCTTGAAGAAACCAAGTTCATCTCCCTCAATTCTTGGGAGCCATCTAATCCATAAATGAAGCAACAGCTCGTGAGATCACCCACCACACACACTTAGACAGGCTGAAAACTCTCTATATATCTGGATTTACAGCAAACTTAATGCAAAACCTCAAGGTAGTGTCAGTCCACTCTTGCCAGTTCTCCTGTCTGCTCAGTGTGTGCAGGAATTTTATCCTGACCCTTAAGTTTTCTCTAAATTGAGATGGGATTTTTTTTAAATTACAAATGGTAAGATGGAAGCGTAGAGAATTATATTTCTTCTCCAAGTACCTGAAGAGTTTTAGGTTTGGTTTCTAATAATTGTCCTTTATCTAGTCCAGAAGATTGTTTTTTGATGATCTGAAGTGCACCATTAGTTTCACATGCTCTTCTACACTGGTCTGACATGGAACCAGTCTGTTTTGTTACAAATGGTTTTAGTTTCCAAGTAAACCAAGTGGCAAAGCAATTCAAAACATATTGAATTCATTTAATACATTAATAACCAGAACTGGCTCTAAATCAAAAATAATTACTCTAGACTTAGAGAGTTTTATTTCTGACAGTTCTTTCTTTTAAAATAAAGTAAAACATATTGGATATATTCACTTACTTTAAAATAGCAAATCAGTAACACAGGGATTAACATATTCCTTTTCTTCTTCATGTCCAAGACATTTCTTTATACAGAAGAAAATGCTTGATTTCTCTTCAATGCAAAAAATAATCCTGTAAGTGCACTTTCATGCCCCAATGTGCAGCCACTTTGCTGAACTTTTAGATTCTACAATTAGATAAATCAGATTTCCTTGTGAAGATCTAAAGCTGTAAATACAATTTATCTTCACTTCATTAGGGATATGGGAAATTCCTATCTTGGGAGGAGATACTGTCCATGAACAGCTGTTCAGCCATCACCATTACACAGCTCATGGAAGCTTTTGTACATCCTTTTTTCCCTGTTGTATTAAAGATGTCCCAGCACAAGCACAACCTTAGAGCTCTGATCTCCCAAAGTCAACAGAGGGCATTTGGCAACTGATGCCACCAGCAGGGTGATGCACAGGGGGCAACAGTGGCTCTGCAAACAACACCTGCTGAGCTGGAGGCCAGGGTAGCCCTCCTGCCTGGGTGAAGGCAGCAATGGAGAACAAGCCAAGCCAGCCCAGGCCAGCCTTCTGGGGACTTGTCAGCAGCTCACAAGAAGTGCTGCAGGGAAGGAACAAACTCCAGGTCACAGTGGTTGTGAGGTATCTGCACTCAGGTTTCCAAGAACCCGTGCTCCTGGCACGGCCTGCCAGGCGAGCTGGAGCAGCTCCAGCACTCGCTGCCATTTCCCCAGCCCTGGCTCCACCCCAGCCTGGCAGGCTGCGCCAGGGGCACGCCAGCTGCCACTGCGTCACCAAGGTCCTGTTTCTGTGACCTTGGCATGGAGGAACAGAGCACCCTCCCCACGTGGCATTTGCACTGCAATTACTCGGTCTTGGAGAGGCCACCAAGGAGTCAGGAGGGATCATTTCTGCTGGTAAGTGGGAGGCTGGACAGCAGAACTCTGCAATGTTGTCCCTGCCAGACCTCCGTGTTATCCCAACCCATCCCCACTTTATCCTGTCATTTGCTGCAGTGCTCTTGCACATCACACCTCCAGGACTTGACCCACACAGAAGCTGATCCCACAGCTTGTCCCTATGACTTTCCCAGGAATGGGAATGATTTAATGTTAATGGCTATCCTCTTCAGAACGGGCCGTGGAGATCGGGGCATAAGAGGTCATTATTGTTTAAACACTTTTGTTTTGCTTTTCTTCTCAGAAACTTTAAATCATGAGCTTCCTTACACAGAACTGCCCGAAATGACAGCTTTAGGACGTGTGAGAAAGACACAATTAATTTAGTACAAAAGATAAGACATTTCCTTGGGGAAGCACTAATACCAGGCCTATTACCCCTCAGTGTCATTTCAGATTAGTGTTCTACGGAGAAAGGGATTCTAAATCTTTTTAATTGAAAAATGTTTCTCTTTCCCTTACTATTATAAATTTCTGCCCAGAGGTTAAAGAGTTTTAAAATTATTTCTGAATTACATCCAATTTCTGGACAGTTTATCAAAAAAAGGAGGATGCAGTTTGTCTCTTGCTTTACTAATTTATGTCAGACTAGAGAAAGGAGAAATATATTCCCTCGGTGACCCAAATGAAATAGTTACATAAAATGATGCTCAGAAATACAAAGCCCAGACATCTCTAACATGTTAAGATTGGCAGCTGTCACCAACACATCCACATGTAGGAATACATGCCATAATTATGCAAAGTAGAAGGATAATTATCCAAACACAGTGGTGGAAACAACAATCAAGAGAAGAATTTTCCTCAGCTTCTCACTCCCTTTTTCTGGCTTAAAGTTTGAAAACCATCACAACCAATGATTTTAATCCATGTAGGTTGTTTGACTCATAAGACACAAAATTACCTCAAGGAAAGAAGAAAATGAAAATATCCTTTTACCTTTAGCATGTCCTGAGCAGGAACATTCAAAACTGTGACCTGGACTTGCTCAGTCCTTGATCCATGGCCTTGGAGCAGCCCCTTTATATCCCAAAAGTGAGGGATGGGATTTGAAGCAAAGTCCTGGCTTTGAGTGGTGTAGGCACTCCTGGAAAGCACAGCTCCCTTTACTGTCGATGGTCTGCTGGAAGATAGGAAAAGCATCACACAGACTTAGTTAATTCTCTGCTCAGATGTTCTTTTGGGTACAAGGGTGCCTGGCTATCTCTTCTAGAGCTCTGAACACAAAGGAACTGAAATTTGGGGGGCAAAGCATTTAAGAAGGCACTCTCCAAGTGAATGTTTTTGTGGAGATTGGTCTGCCATAGTCTTTGGGCAGCTGCACAGCCCACAGAACATTTGTGTGTTAGGGTTGTTTGGGTTTTTTGTCCTTGAAAATCCTTCCAAACAACTGTGTTCTTTCCACTTCTCCTCCAGATTGTATAATGGTTGTGTTTCCTGTGATCTATACTGAAGAAAAAATATTTTCCTTTTCTAATTCAATCCTTAGCCCTTGTTTTCCCAAACTCTAGTTCTCAAGAAATGTGATTTCTTAAAAAAAAAAAAGAAGAAAAAGTCTAATTAAGCCATTTATCAAACTTTTCCAAGTGGGTAGAGTGACAAATTAGCCCTATCTTCCACCAACAATCTGATGGATGGGAAGATAAAGATGCAGAGGCTGTTATTTTAGCTGGAAGCCCTCCACTATATCAATTGTTTGGCCCCAAGCCAAAAGACCCTAAGAGTTGACAAGGACTAATGACGGGTCCATAAAGTTTATGCAGCATGAGGTCTGACATCAAAGGAATGCAGCCTTATTAGCAATATCTCTATGCCTTCTCCTTGGGAAAAAAAAAAATAAAATTCTCATTTGTTTTTTCAAAAGATTTTACTTAATTATTCTACTCTTTCAGCAAATGGAAAGAAAATTAAAACTGTAAATAAATTTGCACAATAATCTGTGGCTGACGAGTTCTGCTCTTCTCTACAAATATGAAGTGATTTTTATTACTTTTAAAGTAATGTCCACCATGAGAGGCTAGACTGCAAATAAATTTCATTAGGAGTATTTTCTTTTACCACTATTTGCTTGAGAATACTTACACTCTTCCCAAGTTTTAACTCTTGGTGGTTTTAGGTTAGGGCTGAAGTGGATATTGGGCCTGACTCTGTGACAGCATCACCTTCAGTGTTTGTAGCTTACATCTTTCTTCCTTCTCCCAGGGCTTTTATTCTAATGTGCACCATTTTGACATGAAATGGAAACCCTGTGTAGAAGGTGGAATGCAATTATTACCTGACTGGAAAGCAGGAAGAGAGGATATAACAGCCAGGATGACTTCTAAGAAAAATCAGAGCAACAACTCAGCAACGAAAAACTCTTTTGATATCTTTGACAAAACAAGCCATTTCTTCAGATACTATATGTTATTCTGGTCTAGAAGTAAAATCCATATATTTTTTTACTGGAAAACTAATTAAAGACTATTCTTGACATCCCATTCTTTAGAAACTATTTTTTTTTCTCTTGTGGAAACAGGACAGTCTTCAACTTGCTGGCACAGTGAGAAACTTTAGTATTGCTTTATCAAATCCAACTGCAGTAGTCCTGCATATCCACATACCTGATGAACTTGATTTATCTTTTCAACACAACATTTCTACAGGATGCAATTAAAAACAATACTGCAATTGCTGACATGATGACAGCACTGGAAGTCAGTGCAAAGCCACATTCAGCACAACCTACAGTATTTTATCTTCCCTTTCCAGTCTGGATTTAATAGTATGTGTGGAAGGAGCACTGTGCTAAAGTAGGGATGTCATCCATCTCCAACCTTCCTGTGTCTCAATAAACTGCCCTGGATTATCCCTCCTCTATTGTTCCCAATCTATCACCAGCTTGCTCTGAGGGGATTTGAACTCCTGCAGCTTTTCTTTCTTGTTGCTTTTCCAAAGGGGATGTGCCATTGCATCTGCCACGCTGCTTTTGACCCTTGGACATCAAGGCAATTTCCATCCCACTGGGATATCCACAAGCTCTGATGGTTTTGGGGGAAATATGAAAATGCTTGGAGTCTGTGAGGTCCAACACAAACAATCATGGAAAGAACAAAAGAGAACTTTTAAATACTACAACCTTAACTGGCAATGTCAAAACCAGGAATTAAAATTCTGATTGAAATATCACAATCAATTTTTTTCTTCTTCCTGATGCATTTAATATCTTTAAGTTCCTAATGTGTTTTCTTAGCTGCTCATTGATAACAGGGCTGCTTAGGAACCAAATTCTCTCTATGACATTCCCTTGCAACACTTGGAAATAAAACCTAAGAAAAGAAAATGCACTGGTTGAATTTTTCTACTTAGAATTGTTTTGGTTTTTTTTCAATAAAGTGTAAGTATTATGGCACTATGCAATTAAGTGTTCAAATGTCATTGCTTCTAACTTAGGAAGGGGACTCCTTGAACAAAGAAGCTGAAATGCAAATTGGCTGCAAATAAAGTGAAATAATAAAATAAAAAGAAAAAAAAAAAAGAAAAGAAAAAACCAAAAACAGTGCTGAAGTTGCCAAAAAACCAAACTGTTTTCTTACTTATAATTAGCAGCATTGGTCATTGTCTGGCTGCCCTGGCACTCTGTAAATATGCCTGGGCAGACTGTGATTAAAGATTATGTAGAAGATTTATTTATTATTTAAGATATATCCATTGCCTAGAAGAGACAGGTAAAACAACAACTCTCTCAGTCACTCAGCTTGGTTGGGGGGTAGTGGCTACAACTCAATTCTATTTAGCCTTTCTTCAGTAAAATAAAGGATTTTCCTTTTCTTTAAACATGGCTCCAATTACTGAATAGAGCAAACACATTCAGAATTACAAGCTTCAGCTCTTTCAAAGATTCATGAATTTCTCACATATTTTAGCAAACAAAGTTAAGAAATTTTGTTCTGTAATTTACAATTTATGACACGATTCAATAGAAGACCTTAAAAAGGCTTAGCTACAAAATAAATACTAAACTTACTCCACCCTGCATTTGTCTTTTATTTGCCAGATGACCAGTTTGTTTTATTTCCTTAAACACAACTTTGGAAAATACAGCAAGTCTGTAATGTACAGTTCCCACCTGGAAGCACAAACTTTAGCAGCCAACCCCAAGTTAAAACATAAACTCACTTTTCATTTCTGTTCCGAGGTAATTCATAATTCAGATAGAGCTGGGGGATACTCACATAATTTGCCTTTAAATTTTGCCCAGTAAATTCTGTGGCAAGTCTGGTAGAAGGAAAGTGAACAACAGACAAGCAAACCACCACACTGCTGCTCCAGCTACACAGGGAAGTGCACAGGTTTACAGATCAGTATGATTTTGGGCTGTTCCATTGCGCCTGTGAAACTGAAGTGGAAAGATGGCAAATGAATCAGAGTGCAGAGATACTGCTCAGCTATGGCAATGGAAATACACATGTCAGCTACCAAAGGGATCTGGTTTGCACTTTCCTTGATTTTTTTTTTTTCTTCTTCTAAATCGTACTAATATCATGTTTTTTCTCAACTTTTTTTTTTAGTCTCTTACATTGGGAACAGCTTCTGATTTTAAGACTCATTCTTAAAAGACTCATAAGACTATTCATGACTTCACATGAATATTAGGACAGAGATTTTGCTCACTAAATGATACATGAAGAGAATAATGATTTCAGATCTGTATGTCCTATTGCAGCTATTTCCACTATCAGGAAGTGATGGGCTGACCTACTTGTGTGATACAAAAACAGCCAAGGATCTTTAAGCAAAATCAATGCCACTGAGCTGAAGAGAAATGGGGAGGTGCAATGTGCTCACAGTATGAGCCCCTTGGTGCCCACCCCAGCACTGCTGTCAGAGCACACCCTCTGTGTTTGGCCCAACACAACCTTGGCATTGCTGAAAAACTCAAGAATTTATTTTTAAAAACTGTCATTCAAGTTCTAGGCTGAAAATCCACTGAGGATTTTGGTGGGCATCACTCTGCAGGCTTGAGGTTACAGACTGAAGGCAGCAGATCTGGATCCCAGGGAATCTGTGAGCTTTCTACCAAAAATGCCTGATTTTACACCATTCCACTGGCCTGCAGAGGTTTTGGGGCTTGCTTTCTTTACAACTCGAATCTAGGTGTTGCCAATCACTTCTGCAATGCTGATAACATACACAAATCCTTTCACTGTACCATCATAAGCACTGGCAGAATTCTATTAATAAATTTACTGTACCTCCTTTATTTTGCAGTGTTTGCTGTTACCCCAGGGACGAATATCAGACTCTCTGCAGGGAACTGGATTTTCTGTGCCACTAAGATACAGTTCACTACCAGAATTCTCAGCTGAGTCTCAAATCCTTCACAGAGCATCGGAACTTCACTAGATGGCAGTGGAGAGAAATATTACTTTATATCAATATATTTTTTAATACCCAACAAGTCCTGCACTTTATTAGTGCTGTCTGTGTTAACACTACATCACAAGACAGCAATTCTCTCACCCACACAAAAGCTCCTGCCCAGCTAAATCTCCCTGTAAGCCTTTGGGAAAGCATGGACACTCTTTCACCACTAATGCACAGAGTCAGGGAGCAACATGCACTCCCTCTTTAAAGGGTTTTTCTCATAAGCTCAAGTGTACTGTGGTCTGTCCTGAAATCCCAGGAAACAATAAGTTCCAAGAAGAAAAAGTTTTTAAAAGAAAACTTTCCAGAGAAGTCAGAGACACCACCCTCCAAAGAACCATAACAGTTATGTATGCCATAAACATGATGAAGAAAATGAGTGAAGAGTAAGAATGAGAAAGGCAAATGGTTCAAGGAATTTTGTGAGGACTACTCTGCATTCAGAAAAAAATCCTTTTCCTTCACAAGAACTCCATACAAATACATGTTTCTTGGGAGAACTTTATATCCTTTACAGACAACTCAAGAAAGAAAGCATCATTTTTCAGTCTTCTGACAAAACTCCAAGGTGAAATACTTTAAGCAGCAAGTTCTGTAACTTCTAAGGTCCAAAACCTTGAAAAATTTAATCTTTTGAATACAGAGGACTAATGCCTGCCAGTCTTTGGAAATTGATTACACCTGGACAAAACTAAAGAACTACAACAGAGTGGGTAA